GTCATAGCGTAATATGTGTCGAAGTAAACATAAGAGGGGAATGGGTTTTCTTCGTTTTGAACATTTTAATCAGGCTTTACTCGCTAAAATTGGATGGAGGATCCTCCAAGAGCCCCAGTCCCTGTTGGCTCAAGTATACAAAGGGAAGTACTTCCCAAACGAGACTTTCCTTCAGGCTCAAGCACGCTCGCGTCCTTCCTGGGGGTGGCAAGGTGTTCTGTTTGGAAGGCAACTTCTTGAAAAGGGCTTGCGCTGGCAAATTGGGGATGGTCAATCGGCATCACTGCTTTTCTCGAATTGGATCCCTCGCCTACATCCTGACCTACCGGTGTTTAATCCTCAGGTGCTCCCAGAGGGAGGTAATCCACGAGTGGCGGATGTGATAGACCATAAGGGGGGAGGCTGGTGTATTAGTAAACTCAGCCAATGGTTTGACCTATCTACCTTCCGTATGATTCAATCTATTCCTCTGCCGAGGCAGTCTATGGAGGAAAGACTTATCTGGCATGGTACGACTGATGGCGTGTTCACTGTGAAATCAGCTTACCATCTAGCTGTCGATCTAGATAAGAGACAGGGCTGCTGGAGGTCAATGGTCAGTTGGATGGATATATCTAGTTGGATTTGGCTTTGGGATGCTGATATTCCTCCCAAGCTGAAAGTGTTTCTTTGGCAGATCTTCCATCGTATCCTCCCCACGACCGAGGGGTTACTTGAAAAAATGTGCTTGTTCATCCTCGATGTCCGGTTTGCTGGGGAGGAGCAGAAACAATGGAGCATCTGTTTCTGGACTGTCCAGTGGCTCGGGCCTTAGGGGACTATGCAGGATTGGAACATCTTGGACAAGGGTTACCGCGTCACACATTCCCCTTATTTCTCAAGCGGTTGTTCTCTCTCATTCATCAACCTTCTGTGATATTATCAGTGGTGGCTATCCTTTGGCGGGTTTGGAAATCTAGAAATTGAGTGGTCTTTGAAGGCAAGCAATTTGGGTTCCGGCATTGTTGCGCCAATACCATCAGCAATGTGAGGAATGGGAACGGTTGCCCACAAAAAGTGTGACTTCTGGTCTACGACCTACTTCTCACCCAGTTGGACTTCCTGCGGGTCCCTCTGTGGTGTGTATGTGGGATGGGGCTACGAGAGATGGGTCTCATTCGGCAGGCGGGATAGTTCTTCTTGGACCGCATAAGGAGGTCATTCTAGCTAAAGGAATCCAATTTCGGTCTATTGATGATCCTCTGGTGGTGGAAACTCTTGTCCTAAGGGAAGCTATCTCTTGGTGTATGGGCAATGGATTCCTAGATGTGCGTTTTGAAGGCGATGCCAAGGTCATTATCGACAAGCTTAATCAAGGAGATACAAGAGATAGCAGGGTTGGGGTGATTTTAGCATAAATTATAAAATTTATTGAAGATCACTCTGGGTTTAGCGTATGATTCGTAGGACGGAATAACAATAGGGTAGCCCATGTGGTGGCTAGAAAGGCCCTTTCTTTTTATCCGTCTACTTGTCGCTCTTTCAATTTTCAGGACTGGCTGTGTTCCAGGATGTAACTGCCTTTGTTGAATCAATATATGATTATCTTTTGTCAAAAAAAAAAAAATACTACCCGATCATAACTATAGTAAAAAAAATCGATTCATATAGTTAAGAACAAGTTTGGATAGTTCCCTCTTATCACCTCTTCAATCACCCACATAATTACTTCAGTGCGTGGGTTCCTCCCTTCCATCTTCAGTATAGACACCCTCTATCTTTTCCATGGAAAAGACTCTAGGTTGCCCACCAGCTTTTGACATTTGATTCTTATCACGACCGACATGTTGGGTGTTGTTGCTATTGAAACGTCCACCATTGTCGTTGCTCAATTCGTTAGTCCTACCATTAAATCTACTTCCTGACTGTGCTTTACCCCCACCGAATGAGGGCTCAGAGATAACCTTTGTACGATCCGAAAGTCATGGACAGTTCCAATTTTGATGTCCCGGCTCGCCACACTCGAAAGAAACGCCCATATCACGCCTGCACTCACCTAGATGAAGTTTGTCACATTTCGGGCATAGTGGATATAGTTGTTGTGCCGGTGCATATCTCGTGGAGATCCCCTGGCCCCAGAACTGATGTTGGTTAGCTGAACCAGATCCCCGCTTGGAAGGTTGGGTCGAGTAAGTCGTGACTCCAAAGTTGGTTAACTCCTTCCTCTTCTACGTACCGAGTCTCGCATCCCTCTCCTGTTCATCCATCTTCTTGTCCCTCTCAATGTGAAGGGCAGCTCGGTATGCAGTGGCTTCAGATGCCCTCTCTACTTCTCCCATATATTTTCTCAGTTTTGCCCTCACACCCCAAAAATAACGACCTCGCATCCCTGCTGCAGTCCGGTACACGGGATCAGCATACTTGCACAGCTTCTTGTATTCCGTGACACTCTGCCCCCACTGCTGCTCCAACTTCATGAAATCTTCCCTCTTATCTTCCTGGACTATTTGGGGGATGTACTCATCGAGGAACATCTTCACAAACTGGTTCCAGGTGATCTCCAGTGGTACCACTTCACTCTCCGTTGGAGGTGCGACCAGTCTCTAGCATTTCCCTGGAGCATGTGGACAACCATGGCGATCCTGTCCTCATAGTTATCAATGTGCAGCTCGTCTAGGGTGCGGGAGAGATTCAAAAGCCATGCATCAACCATATCAGGGTCGGAAGATCCCTCAAAGTCCTTGACACCCATCTTCCTAAGTGCAGCGTAGTTCAGAGGTGGACGTCAACCACCAACTTATTGAGAGCTATCTCCATTCATACTACTACATAAGGCAACGACGTTGCATTAGAATCTTCGGACATTACTAGTAGACAAGACTGGATGCTCAAAAAGGATTTTAGGTTTTCATAAAAAAATTGGTTGAAAAGTTAAAACCCTTAAAGCTTGTTGAAACCTAAATATCGAATTCCCAGTATCTCACTTACAAAGTGCAGATAGAGGGAACTAGGCTCTGATACCACTTGTAATATCCCGAAACTTTTCCCGACAAGATACTGTCCGCTTTGGGCCTCTACACCATCACGGATTCGATTTGGGGTGCAATTCAAGGTTGACTTCCCATAAGGTCACCATCCTTGTTATACTCCACACTGAGCACGTTTAACTTCGGAGTTCTCACTAGAACCCCTCCATTTCAGCCCAAAATGCGTCTTGTCAGTTAAGGCCGATTTCTAACTTATGTACCATGGATCTCTCCCGTGCTTTGTCGATGTGGGATTTACCTAATTTGTTACATACAACCTCCCCTTGGGACTCAACGCCCTCGTTGAGTTTTGCCCACCATCGTTCAAGAGGGACGCGGAGAGGCTCTGATACCAAAATGTAACACCCTAACTCGGCCGAGCACTACTTTTACCAAAATGCCCTTGAGTAATCAAAATAACTCAAAATGGAAAGAACAACATAAATAATTTCAAATCACTATACGAAATCCTTTTTAACAAATCATAAATGAGCATCAGTCTCAACCCTGCTAATAAAAATACATAAGTGAAGGAATTCACTTGGATTCTTCTACAATCACTAACCCTTGTGAAGATGATATCTCGAGCAGCTTCCTCCTAACGAGCGATCTGATTGCTCCCACTTCCTTGCAACTCCTAAATGCGGGCAATAGGGTCAGTCCTAATCCTAATTTCGTTATCATACATAAACAAACAACTATGCACATGCAATGCTTATGGTACGTTATTGGGTACATTAGTAGAAGTATATTATTATTAACATATTCTTACTTATATTGTTCTTCGCTTACTTAACTTGAGATGGGATCTCGCACTCGACTTAACTAGTACAACCGTTCGTCACCAACGTATCATGAACATAATCTCCTCATCTACAAGGAGTAACATAATATACCTCCCCATCTACAAGGAGTAATGGTGACCGCGTCCGACAACGATCGTGACATACATATCATGACCCCTCATGTACAAGGAGTAAGGTGACCGCGTGGGACTAGTCAAGTGAGAGTTCTTATTCTTACTTACTAACTTGATACCTTATATGTGCTTGCTTCAAACAACGTCTCACATGATGGAGAGACATACTTAACTTGCTTATTCCACTTGAGAAGTTCGAGCTTACTTAGGTGATCTCCTGCACTATGGGAAGATATAAGCTTATTAACTTGCACTTTAATTAGCTTAGAATTGATCTTGTATTTGCTTGACTCTTAACATTGTTTACTTAAGTTTCAAGATGCTATGCTTACTTAACGTAAAGACTGAACGTAAACAAATAACTTAATATGAAAGCATAAAACAATAACAAAAACATAAGCAAGAACTGAAATGCATAACAAGAACTTAAACGCATAGACTGATAACAGAAGTACTTTAGCCCCCTTTAATTACGCACCTTACCAATCAAATCGTTCGCCTCGACTTGGCGAGAAGCAATACCTCCTCTCGTGATGCAGTGTGATATCTCAATATGTCTGCCAGTGATCTCCGCACTTATAGCCTCGTACTCATGGCTTCTTGGTGTCGATCGAAGGAAAGGACTTCGCGATCAATGGCAATGTATCCGACGTTCGCCTTCCCGCAACCTGTTCCATTGAGCAATACGAGGATGGGGCCGATGATGATTTGATTAGGCTAGATCGATGGATTATTGGTGATTATGTCCCACCTTCCCGCAACCTGTTCCATTGAGCAATACAAGGATGGGGCCGATGATGATTTGATTAGGCTAGATCGATGGATTATTGGTGATTATGTCCCGCAGGTTTGGCCAGTGGTCGCGATGGAGTTTTGGTCTATGGTTCTCAAGGCCGAAGAGAGCTTCGCCTTGGCAGCTAGGTAGTATGCGGGAGTAAAAGAATGGGGAAGGGTTGCGTGCGGCAGCCTTCGTTCTCCTTTTCTTTGGGTTACTTATACGACATATACGACATTTAGCGATTCAGTATATATATACATGTAAATAGACGGTGGGTATACATATGTAGATAGACGGTGGGGTGGATTAGGTTAAATATATTAATTATCATAGGCAATTGACAGAGGGCAATTTAGGAATTCGGAAAAAAAAACTAGGTACCGGGTGTGACAAGCATGAAGTATGGAATCAAATTCGAAACACACCATTATTCTTATTATTATGCATTGAACCCTAAAAGCCACTCAGAAGGTGAAAACAAGAACTGAACAAAATAAACTTGGCTCCTCGTGTTCTTAACAATAAGCTAACCGCTTCTCAAAACAGTACTGTTTATTCATCTGCTCGATTAACCAGATCTTCAAAGCAGACCCCTCTCCCAATGGACATGGCCGGAGGTAAAAGTGCTAGTCTGAGCTCAAGGGCACTCCTGCTGATAAATTTCACCCGCATACTTCCAGTTCATTACCTTCCAAATGTTCTTCAGGTAATCCGGTCTCACATTCTTGTACTGCAGCGCGCAAAATTGTAACCAAGCATGAGTAGATCATGCCTTTGTGATTAAACAGAGCCATGGTTATGGTAACACAATGCAGAAGACATTGTTATAAGCAGTTGAGGTTTACTGCATGAATCTTTAGATTAGGTTTCAGGGCAGAGGGTTGCATATAAAATTTCGTTTATAACTTCGAATTTTTTTTCTTTAAGTACAGAATCTGTCCCGACTTGTCAACTGAACAGACAGGTATAAGACACAGTTATGAGCTGACAACGTAAAAGGATTCGAACTTGCCCAGATTAGAGACACTTAAATACTTTGTTCAATAACACACCAACATAGAAACAACAAAGATGAATTTGTTTTCCCTAGGAGGCTCCTCCTATTATTAAGTCACTCCTTGCCACTAAATGGCAAATGAATAAGCCACAAGTCCTCGCATGCAAATTGCCATGCAGTAGCAAAGTTTTTTTTTTTTTAAGGAATCCGGAGTCACCAATCAACATCTCTAGCAGCTGAGAATATATCATTGTCTGAATCAAGAAATGAGTTTTTTAAAACTTGATGACACGGTGAAGGACATAGCACTTTGGGTGCCCACTGACACGCATACAAACTCAGAGAAGGAACCTTCTCCATCGCTTTATGCACCAAGTTAGGGTTTCTTTTGAACTAAACATGGATAACATGTCAAAGTAAGTAACAGTTCATTTTACTTTCAGATGATAGTAGAGAGGGGTTGGCATAATCTTAAAAGATCTTCATCAACCCGTTTGGATGAGTTATTTGGGTGCAATAACCCGTTTGTCTACAAAAGTTGGTGATGAGTTATTGGTACTTGAGTTAATTTGAAATAACTCATTAATGAGTTATAGTCAATACCTCATAGGGGTAGTTATTGTGAAATAACTCACAAATACCACATTCTCATTTTGTGAGGAATTCCACTTTTATATTAACTCGTTACACAACAACGCAACAACTCATCCAAACGACCCCTATATTCAATCGTCTTACTGATTGCACAGACATTATGTTTACGAGTATGATTGCATAAAGAGTCCCATTTCACATGCCGAGAAGCTTACTTGCAAGTAGTATGCATGCTCCCAAACATCGATGCCAAGTAATGGGATCAAAGTTGCTCCCTTAGTCACCAATGGATCCTGTTACAATAGCCAGAAACATATGTTATGCAGGCAAAATAGATTTGAAAATCCGTCATATGAACAATAAACACATTTCATAAGCAAGCGAATCGAGCAGTGATTACAGCATTAGAGATTTATTACAGCACAACTCAATAAAAAATGTAACAGTTAAATGGATAGACAGAGAACAGGTCACTACTATCAGACAGGAGACATAATCAAATATAATGTCAAAATTATCAAGGGATAGTAAACAAGAGTGTGTTGGATTGAGGCTGATAAATTATTTTTCAGGACGAATAGCATGTGGTTTGCATTTTGACTGCTAGTTGCTACTGATTTAACTTTACAGGCAGCAGTGCCATATGCCTATATGATAAGAACATAAAATTCACCATTTGCATCTGTTGGTAAACTTGGCAATCATGAATTGGAAGTATAAAGGATGCCCACAAACAACTATACTTTCTGGAAGCATAACCATGCCTCGGCAACAAGAATTAAAAAGAGAAAGGGAACCACATCCAGCATCACCAATACTTGACAACTCATACATTACTTTTCGATTTACCTGATTTGCGGTGGTATCAACTACAAGCTTCTTTGTCTCTTTGTCGAGGCCAAGCCACTGCAAGGCAGAAATTTCGAGCACAAATAAAAACTTGTTAACTACCAGCTATCACAGCTAAGGAAGAATTAAGTCATGAAACACACAGAGCTAATTAACACCCTGTTATAGACCTCAACGACTTGATGAAGTAACTTACCACCCATCCAGAGCCTTGGAGAGCGGCACCTTCAGCATTCATTTTCTGGATCAATGCTTCCACGGAACCGAAATGAGTGTCAATAGCCCAGCCCAAGGAACCATGTGGGGGTTCACCACCTCCTTCCTTCAAGGATTAAATGTTAAATATGTCAGGTAGGCTACTATAAGAGAAGCCAATCCAACGGTAGAAGCTAAACTTACACGAACAGGAGCAAGATTCTTCCAGAAGATTGAATGGTTTACATGACCTGTAGCAAGACGAAAAACTCATTAGGTTCATTCCTGTGGTTTAGATTATATCATGAACTGTATTCTATACCAACGCCCACGATAAAAACATATAGCATATTGAACAAGAAATTGGGAGCGCATACAAAAGCTCGGGAGAGAATTGCAAGCTTAAGGCAACCAGAATCTGCAGTTGCAGTAACCACAACCAAATCCGCTTCGTAAGTTACGAAAAGGGCAATACTGCATCAAAGATACTCCCTTTCACCTCCATAGCTGTCGACATGCCTACTACTCACACTGGCTGGCTTACAAAATGGAAACGATAAGTACAATCGAATTCTTCACTACCAATAAAAAAGTTCATCAAACTCTCCATGCCGCCTTATCATCTACCAGTTCGGTAAATTGACAAGTAGTATTACTATGAGGAAAACTACCAAATTCATTCCTCCTTTTCCCACGCCAGAAATTTACTGTCCACATATCATTTACCTCGACTCACCATCACAAAATGAAGAACAATCACAAACTTGCTATAACAATTTAATCGATCCCTAATCAACTTAGCTAAACAAAGAAGGGAACCGGAAGGAGAGAAGGATAGAGGGAGGGATAGAACCTCCGCCGTTGAACTTGATGGCGCTCTGCAGCTTAACAACAGTACCGACATCGCCCTTGAGAGTAGCTTCGTGGAGCTGCTCGAGAGCCTTGTTGTAGTTTGTGACGTAGGTCTGGTGGTGCTTCTGGTGGTGGAGCTGCATAATATCGCCGCTGATGGCAGGCTCCAGGGCGCCGTAATCATAGGGGAGATCGGGGAGAGAAGCGGTCTTCAATCCTCGGGATTGGGAGAGCCCTGCCAGCCCTAGGGCCCTGGAGTCGAGGCAAGACGAGGTTCTGGAAGCGGCCGATAATCCCGCGAGGGATTTGCGAGAGAAGAGAGATCGGAGCGCCATGGTCTGGTTTTCTGGAGAGTGGAGAGTCTAATCACTCAGAGGGTTCTGAAAATGGCGAGTATCGGTGGGTTCTTAGAAGAAGAAGAAGAAAAGGGAGGCGACGGGCTGAAATAAAAAGGATGATAAAAGGAGTGCCGGCGTGAGGCCACTTGTCATTTCCATTTGCCACGTAAGACAGTCGTCCTACCGCAATTCAGCTCGCTGCCGGCGCCGCTGGGCAGTGGATTGAGGAGAAAAACTTGGGTACGTCCGCTGCACCACGGTGGATTGATGATTTGGTGCACCGCCCCAATTCAAATCCGCCACCTGTCCATATTAAATTCATTTTACCTTTTCTCTCTTTCCTGCGTTTGAGTGCTTTGCGGTTATCTTTTTCTCTTTTTTAATTTATTCTTTTATTGTTGCTATTAAATTATTAATTGGTGACCTTTCCTTTCCTTTCTTGTATCTCTCTATTAGTACTGCCCCTATTACTTTTTGGCATAACGAAGAAGTGAAGATGTTGACCCCTTTTTCTCTTGTCTCGTTCTCACCACTGTACCAGTTCATTGTTCTATTTCTTTCTCTCCAGCGGCCATGACGAGAAAGAAATCCGAACGCAGACATATAGCCATAGGGGCCCAACCGGGGAAATCATCAGAAGAATGGGTTTTCTTCTCACGTCCAACTAATGTAAAATGAAAACAGTATTAGTAAAAGAATGTCTAATTCCAAGTTAGTGATGACAAACTCAAAACATTCTTTGCGTATGCATTCATTCTTGGAAAAATAAAGTGAACGCATCTAGTGACAAAGAGCTAGCCATATTCACGAAACCAAAGGACGAAATAGAGGGTCTATAGAAACGATGCATTAGACAATGAACTACGTACTACGACGTCAGCAATGGAGGGAAAGAGACGGACACAACAGAGAATAAGATAACGAACCTGAGGGCGACAATTGTGCACCGGAAACCTTAATCGGGATTGCGACCAACGATAGTTTGAGATGAAGTGCAGCTTTACCGGAGCTGACGAAAGCTATATTCAAGTTGCATTGAAATTTTAACGAGATTGTTGTATGATGGGTCGTCAACGCTGATTCTTTATCAGCTTTGTAGACTGGGAACTCAGCCAGGAACAGTGACGACAACGAAGCTCTTTTCTTCCGTAGGGTTTGGTTCTGAGTTCTTTAATTTAGAGGGATGTTTATTGTTTTATTTAGTTAATTAATAATTAATTGCAAGAGTCACCAATTAATAATTTAATAGCAACAATAAAAGAATAAATTAAAAAAGGAAAAAGCTAACCGTAAAGCACTCCAACGCAGGAAATAGAGAAAAGTAAAATGAATTTAATATGGACAGGTGGCGGATCTGGATTGGGGCGGTGCACCAAATCATCAATCCACCGTGGTGCAGCGGACGTACCCAAGTTTTTCTCGTGGATTGAGTCCTGGTTTTAGGCCGCAGTTTTTGTGTATTGTAAACCGGTTTTATTTTTCTCTGTTGATATTTGATAGCTCTCGTACTAAACACGTATAAAATTTGTTAAATACGTTTAATATTTGTATTTAATGAATTTAATTGCTAAGTTAACTATTATTTAAAATTTAAGTAATTTATATATTTTATAACTATTGATGTACTATTAAACTTATCATTAGTTTGTAGATAAAGTAAAATACATGTACATATTTTATACGTAACTTACAGGTACGGTATTTTACTAACTATGTTTATAATCTGTCAATAACAGGCTGTAACTAACCGTCTGAACTGCTTGAACCACGCGGTTCACTTCATTCGCACGCCCCACTAATTTGAATTTCTACGAGAAAGTTGAAACATCAAATTTAAATCCCAATAAATATTCCACTAATTGTCCAAGTTAGTTGTCAAAATATTTATTTACTCCCTACTTTTTTTATTTATTTACTCCCTACTAATTTGAATTTCTTGAATAACATCATCTTGAAAACCATCACTAAAGTCATGTCCAACTGCCTCAAATCTCTAGTGCCCAAACTAGTATAGCGCAGACACAAAGTGGATTCATGAAAGGGAGACAGACTAATGATAATATCTCTCTTCTCTAGGAGGTACTACATTTTTTCCACAAGAAGAAGGGAAGAAGGGGGGCATGGTGATCAAAGTTGATTGGGAGAAAGCATATGATAGGCTTAGATGGGATTTTCTTTGTGAGATGCTGATCGAAATAGGACTTCCAAGCACATGGATCAGCAGGATCATGTTCTGCGTTGAAAAGTACAAAATGAAGATTAGCTGGAATGGAAAGCTTACAGAAGTAATGATTCCATCTAGAGGGGTTCGGTAGGATGATCCCCTTTAACCTTACCTCTTTGTGTTGTGTTAGGAGAGTTTAGCATTGAGAAAGTCGTGGAAGAAAAGCATTGGAGACCCATATCCCTACAACTAATGGCACAAAACTTTCACATATCTTTGTTGCTGGCGACTTGATTCTCTTTGAAGAAGCTAGATGCTCACACAATGAGGCTATTCGAAGAGGCCTAGATGACTTCTGCAAAAGTTCTGGCCAGCGGATCAACTTAAACAAATCAGTCATGCTTATGTAAGCTAAGTTTCATCAAGACAAGGCACAACCTTTGAGTCTCCGGGCATGGTTTCAATGACTACTGATTTGGACGAATATCTAGGCATCTACACAATCAATGGTCGCAATAGTAGAAACAACTACCCTTGCTGGATGTGGCCATTGCACAGTTTCTAGCAGACAATAGAGACCTATTGGTCGTGAATTATTGGGAGTTGGAGCAAGGATGGAAGATAGGGGACTTTCAACAATTCCTCCCACAAGCAGTCGTTGATCAAATAAGAAGGGTCCTAGTAAATCCCTTGATAACAAAGAAGGATCAAGACATCTGGAATCTTACATCAAATGGCCATTTCAAGAAGAAATCATATCAAGAGTAAGGGTGTTTATCTGGATGACAATGCAAGGAAGGCTATCTACCAACAACATCCTCAAGTACCAACACTTAACGAAGGATGACAACTTTTCGGAGTGTAGCAATAACCTAGAGACCAAAATACACTCTTTGTGAGACTGTTCCAAAGCAATAGAGCTATGGACAAACTCATTCCTCTACAAAAAAATCTAGCACTTGTGTTCTCTTCAGCTTAGTAGGTGGTTGTACTCGAACCTCAAAGACAATTCAGAAGGCAGTTGGCCAGGCAAGTGGGCGAGTTTCTTTCGCTTCACCTTGTGGTATATTTGGAAATGTCGTAATGGAAATGTTTTCAGGGGACAGAAACTCCCAGACTCGACGCTAAAACATAATGTGATCACCAAAGCTCGATTATGAGCAAAGGCTTGGTAGGTGGCAAAGTTAAAGAGTGACTTGGTTGCAAACATCCCAGGCAAGAGACGCTTATTGGATGGAAAGCTCCTGATGCTGGCTCTTATAAAGTTAACACTGATGGAGTGTGGCAGGGTGATCAAAAGCTAGCTAGTGTAGGTGGGATCATTTAGGATAATAGTGGTGACTGGCATGGCAGTTTTTGTAGCAAGTTAGTCACTGGAATCCGACTCTCAGTTTCCATTGGAGCTGATCGAAAAAAGAAAAGATCAAGTTCACCCTTACGCTACCATTCTAGGTGTCATTCGACGAATGATTGCTCAAGGTTGGGTGGTGTGACTAGTTCCTACGTATCGTGAAGGAAATAGAGTCGCGGACTGGCTTTGGAAGCACACTAGCCATCTAACTTATTTTTGTTGCAACTAAGTCGTTTAAGTTGAATTATGGTCGTAACCAAATCATATAAATTGAATTTTGGTTGAACCATCACAATTTACGTCCACATAATTGACGGAAGGTACCAAATGGTAATTATTGTGTCACCATTTTGGTGAAAATGAAAAATTTATAATCATTTTTCACAAATATCAAGCTTATGTGACCATTTCAAATAATTTCCTATCCCCCTTCATTCATTTTGAAGCACCAGATTCCAAGTAAAATAACTATAACATGTACAGTTCCCCTGGTGTAAAAAAACGGTGAAAGATGCATTGAAGAAATACAATTCACCGTCAAGAAGAAAAGGATGGTGTAGCAATCAAAGTAAAGTGGCGACCATCCATCTGTCGTATGCAAGCAAGGAAATATGATCATTCTGCAAAAAAAAAAAAAAAAAAGGGAAATTGAAGAAGCTCCAAGGCGGTGAGGGAGATACATGGGATCTGAGGGAGTTAAGAAGGCGAGGACAAAGGCGGAGATAACATAAATTTAAGTGTCGATAATCAAGCAGCCTACGCTAAGAAGAGAGTCGTTAAGCCGGTCGTCAGGAGAGCCATCATGATTTCTGACAGTTCATAGGAGATCTTTGGAGTTTGGGTATGTTGTGGTGGTATGGTTTTACCATTTGAGCAAAGTTTTGTAATGGTGAGTGAAAGAGACCTCATAAATAAAGGACTAAGATAGCTCACCGAAATTTACCAAATATAGGAACGCAAATGGTGACTGGATTGTTGAGTTTGGGCTTTTCTGGAAGAGTGCGATGGTCCGGTGATGAAGGAAGGAGAAGCAGGGAGGAAAGAGTGGAAGGCATAATTATCCAATATGTTCACATAAGTTTGGCATTTGTGAAAAATGATTCTAAATATTTTATTTTCCAAAATGGTAAAACAATCATTATTGTTTGGTACCTTTTGTAAAACTTGATAACGCGGAAAGTAGAGAACACGAGATTTACGTGGTATCCTCGTTCTTAACTGAACGACACTAATCCACGGGAGCAAGCTCCAGAGAGGGTTTTCACTATGGTGCGGCCGAATAGAAATCAAGGCCAATTGATTTACACGGCTTAACAAGCCAGTTGCTATTTAACCTAGGAGATTAGGGTATTAAGCTACCTAATTATAAGATGGTACTGATAATTAAAAGTGATAGCTATGTACATCCCAACACTCCCCGTCAAGCTAAGGCATGAAGGTCACAAATGCCCAGCTTGGACAAAAGTGAGTGAAACTGATAAGCACCCAACGCCTTGGTAAAAATGTCCCCCAATTGCGAGGTAGAGACGATCTTCAAGGGAGCAATTTCACCAGTAACACCT